CAGCAATTATCACAAATAATTACATAAATCTGCATGTATATGATTTTCTGTACACAATGATTTACTTTTCAAAGTGATTTGCTATAAACAATATTTCATTTACACAATGACTTTCCATAATAACAACTAAAATCTGCATCTATTTGTTTAAGTTTTTTTTTAAAAAGGAAAAAAAAAAATCATACCTTCAATCAGCAAATGTGGGTTTGAATAACACAGTGGGGATAAAAAATTATATTTTAGGTTTTTTAAAATATTTTTTATTTTTCAAAAGTGTAAAAGTAACAATGGTTGCAATACACAAAACATGAAAAAAAAAACATCTTCCAAAAAAATATTATAAGTAAAAAAATATACGATTCTTTGGCCTGATTTAAATCGTATTATGTAAAAAACGTGTGTTGAACGTTTTTATAAAACTGCTCGATTTTTCGGACCTTTTCAAAAAGTCGCCCTTTAAAACGGTTTCCATAAAAAGCCGATTTTTTTCAAAAAATCGCCGATTAAAAGGCGATTTGATAGAAGAGAAGCAAGGTTTGACAAACGGTTTTCCCCGTTCAAATGCAAAACTTGGCACAAGTGAACAAACCAGCATTAATCGCCAATTGAAAGGCACGTGAATCAAATAGTAAGAAATGGACAAATCCAATGAGGGAGCAGCTCCATCTCAAATTTGTGTGTTCATACTTATAAACAAGTGGTTGGCACAATAACAAAAACCCACTTGAGTCCCACACTCCAAATAATCCACGAAAACAAGTTGAAAGTCTTCATGAACAATTCAGAGGTTACCATTGTTTTAAACGTGGTCTCAATGTACTCATTTTAGATATATTTTAACCAAGTTTGTTATTGCAATTCACACCCCTTCATCCTTCCTCCAAACTTACATAGATCACCTCACTAGTGTACAGATGAGGGTCACTCAGATTGGTCCTAGATTAATATGCCAAGGCCGAAATCAGCATTGTGTAATAATGATGCGTAAAGCATTTATTTTATGCATCGTCATCCGGGGGTCTTCTTTGTTGTACTCATCCAATTACACGAGACTGTTCCTATAAAGAGTTTGGCATTTTTACCTCTTTTATTTTTCTCTCTCTTTGTTTTTTAAGTGTTGCACTTGAAGCCTTAAATACGATGAATGTTTGTCTTGTACACATCACATATAAAGATGGTGTTGTGTTCTTATTTGCATGCAGTCGAGCGAAAAGATTATATGCCGCCATGGGAGCATGTCATCTATTCAGTTCTCTGGTAAAATTCTATTGGGCAAGCTTTCTATAATTCTCCTACAGCATAAAACTTATATACTTCCCCTTATCCAACCCTTCATTCTGAATAGAGGGCTAAGATTGCCCCGATCACAATGTCACGTCTTTACACTATTTTATTTTTAATTTTTTTTTATTAAATATTTTTACACCAAATTTTGGATGTCCAATCCTCTATTAAACTCGCGCTAGTGAAAAAATTTTAAAAATATTTTTAATAAATTAAAATGACCAAAATACCTTTGAAAGTTTCAAGGGGTATTTTGGTCATTATATTTTATCGAATAAATATTTTTAATTATTTTTTTATAGGCGTACCCCGATGAGAAGATGGCACATATCAAATTTTATATTCATACAATTTTTATATAAAAAAAACTAAAAATAAAATACTTTGAGACATCGGATCTTAAATCAAACGGTAAATGGCTCTCTTGATCAAAATTGGACCGTTGAATGGTTGGGGAAGCATAGATCTTCAATGTTGTAGGGGAAATATATCCCAATTCTATTTGGGAGCACTTCGTGATCCTGTTTGATGTGTAATCACTTCAACCCAAACAAAAAGTGATCTTTTACAAAGGCTCTGTGTGTACTTGAGGAAATAACATTCTGCGACATATAATTGTTTGGTGCATCCAAGCCCGCACTTGTTACTTTGAGGGCTTGGATATCTACCCCATCCGCCAACGAAAGTGTAGACTTACACCATAAATAATAGTCCTAAACAAAAAAAGGTAAAATTAAAAGTTCAATTATTTTCTCCAAAACATATCATTTTTAGTTTTTAAATTTTATTTATTTTTACATATTAATGACCTACATGTTAAAGATTATAAATTCTCTAAAATGTAGGATTAAATTCCATTTCAAAAATAAATTATTTAAGGGGGCCGCATTTATACATGTGAGTCTGTGGACTCGTAGAAACCGTGTTCTTCTAAGATTGAATAGAAACCGTTTAAATTTTTTGACAGTTTTTTGAACATGGTCACTCCCTCTAATAAAGCAGAACCTAAAATTTTGACATGTTGAAAATCCTTTCAGCCGCTATTTTGCCAGAGGTACTAAGCATGGAATTTGATATTATACACTTTCTCTTACAAAATTATATAAAAAATTACTTGTATGAATATGTTGGGTTGTTCCTCTATTTAGGCCGAAGTACTAGACATGCATTCACACTAAAGGTTGGGCCCAAATCCCCATTGACTTATCCCTTCAAAAAAAGGGTTGGGGTCGTGATAGCATCTTCATACTTAGTCACTACATTGTTGTTCCCATTTCTATCACTAACATCACTCTATTAACACATTAAAAAATCTAGCTCCTAATATATTTAAAAAAAAACGGGCAAAGGTCTGCTTTCTCCATTGAATTTACCCAAAAAAAAATAAAATAAAAAAAAGAAGAAGTGCCAGACATCAACATTACCAGTGTGGACATATTGATTCTATCTCTGTCCATTCAGTATTAACAAAAAAAAATTATGAAGATAAATTTAACATTTGAACTACCTAATATTTTACCCTAGGTATATATTGATGAATATTAAAACTCATTATGATGTGCCATTTGATTAGCTATTTAAAAATTGATAAAAATTAATAGACACTTAAACATTAGATAAAAAGTATAAGTAACATGTCAAATAGTCCAGTGTAGTTTGATAAAATCATCTTAAAAACCCATGCTTTCTAACTTTCATCATTTTATTAAAATAGGTCAAGACATGTATAAGGTGCCCTCCTTATGCTGTAGAAGTAAGGCATGTTAGAAATATGGCCTATTAGGCCTTTTTATCTTGGGAATTTATTTTTCAATAATGGTACAAAAGCCATATTGTATAGTATATGTGAAATTTCGTGTGGTTGACATGAGGCAATGCCATACACTAGTATCTATTTCGGAGCTTTTATAGGATGTTGCACTAGAGGGAAAACCCAGTGATGTGTTTGGATTCTTTGTAAGAATTATTATTTTTATATTATAGATGTTCAAAATTATTTAATTTCTAAATATCTTTTATCAAGTTATAAGAATGCCTGGATGACATTTTATTATGATAGTCATTAGTACACTGATGACAGGTTTAACTCATTGCATAGGATTAAAAGTTTGGTAACAACTTGTTAATCCTAATTGACTGTACTTAGGGAAATTAATGCATGAGTTGTACTCGGATCTCAACTCCTATAGACCATGAATGCGAGAGTTACAAAATATGGTTATCTATAAAAAGAGGTTAACCCCTCAAGTAGAGACAAAAAAGAATAAAAAAGAGGTGAATGAGCTTTACTAAGAGGACTCTTAAGGTAGCCTGTCACCGGATGACTTGGTCTATGGGATTTGGTATGAAACTTTGGCTCCCTCGTGTGATTTAAGGACAGATCCGAATAAGTTGTTTATCGATTTTAATTATATATATTTATTATTATTTTATTTGGGAATAACAAGGGACACTTCTAAATTTTGTCGGGAGATGTAGTTCCAGCACCAGAAACCTTTTGATGGTTTGAAAATCTATTTTTATCCCTAGTTATTAAATTTGAAATTGAAAAAATAGTACACATCTAGCAAATTTATAAAAACTTGAAAATCTTGAAAGCGTATGGCCCAGATAATTTATCACAAGATGTTCAATTTTCTGGACTTCAATTTATTTATTTTTTCTTATCCATACACCTTAAGGTTGGGATGATGAAATTTGAAGGTTTTCCAATATAGAAGTGCTCTCTTCTATAGGAATTTTTGAGATGCATCATACTTCAACATAACAATGTTTAAAATTCTCAAATAAAAAATAGAAAATGACCTCGTGAGACTTCCTACACCTATGTGCGTAGGATCTCAAATGATTACTATTAAATTTTGTTCAGATCTCCCACACCTATGTGATAATTTTTTTTAGAGTTCTGTATGAAATTTAACGGTGAATCGTGTGGGAGGGTATCGGAGGATCATTACTATTAAAAAAAATAGGCCGATGGATTCGAACCCCTAACATCTCCGCATTCATTAAACTAATTGCATTCAGTTCGCAGAAACAGACGATTGTTTGGAAAAGTCTCACAGTTCCTCCGTGCCCTCGCACTCTCTGTAAGCTTATTGCTCCAGGTACGATCTCCCTCTCTCTCTCTCTCTCTCTCTCTCTCTCTCTCTCTCTCTCTCTCTCTCTCT